TCAACCCCCAGCCTTCAATCGTTCTCCTCGCCAGACACAAAGTCATGTCGACCCTCACGTTTCCGATCCTGTGGAAGGATGCCCATGAGCGGGGCATCAAGGGAGTCATCGAGCTCAGCATGTCCGATTTGCCTCTGAAAGGCGCTCGGGTTCGAGACTTGTTCCCGGTTCTGAATACGAAGATCAACGCCAAGTTTCCGCTCGAGCGAAATAGTCGCGAAGTGGAGACTTTTCTACTCTATGGAACCCGTGTGAGTTGTGATCGTTCACTGAAAGCGCTCATTCCCGAGTTGCGTAGCTGTCCACGATTTGTAGTGAGCATGAGACTCTACCCAAACCGGGCGCCCAGAAGCAGCATTAGGATCTTTATTAAAACGCTCACAGGCAGAATTATTCTAATTAACTGCGAGACCACCGATACGGTTGTCTGTCTCAAGTCCAGAATTCGAGACAAGGAAGGCATTGCACCTGATGTCCAGAGTCTTGTCTTCGCAGGCAAAGAGCTCGGACATTGGCGTGGGCGGGGGTATTACAGTCCGAGGCTTCCCAAGCTCTACAGGCGGTGGTGCAGTTCGACAAACCTTTTTTCATTGTGTGCTTTAACCACACCATCACGGCTGTCGTGCTACCGTTGGTGTTCGGCTAATATCATTGGGTATTTGGAGGGATAGAGGATCGCTATGCAGGGCTGGATGTTCTTGGAGTCTTGAAACGCCATTCCGAGATTCCATTCGACAAACTCTGTCGCATATCAGCGTGTCTGAGTGTGTTCTACCTGCTAGCAGACTACTTTTGGTACGCTGCATTGACCAATGTCAGTGTTGCGGCTGGGACGGCTATCTTCAACTGTTCGCCGCGTTTGTCTATTGCTTTTCGGTTTGTTTCCTGCAGGAACGACCATCGTTTTGCAAGATTTGTGGAGTGCTCACGTCATTTGTGGGAGTCACGATGGTCGTCATGTTTCAAGAAGGACGTGATGCTGATGCGATCGCTAATACTAGTCTAGTGGCGGGCTTGCTGGTGGTGATATCGGCTGCGCTATACGGCGGATACGAGGTTGCATTGCGCCTAAGAGTAGGGGGAGATATCACCGACACGTCGACATTGTTAACGATAAATGGATTGACTGGACTGTTTACCGTCCCGTTGTGGATTGTTGGAAGTTTTGTGCTGGCGTACAGTCCGTATTCACCGCTACAGGAACCAATGGGCTTCTCAGTTACCGGCAGTGGCGTCTTGCTGCTGCTGTTGAGCGGAATAATGGCGGTCGTGTTCAATGTGTTTTTGCCGCTGTCTATGCAGGACGTCACCCCTGGTAACCAGTGGGGGTGATGATGACGATTTCGCTTTCTGGGGTGATAGACGCCTTGTTTCATCACACAACGTTCTCGTGGCAGTGTGTTGTCGGATCAGCGTTAGTGATGGGAGGCTTTGGAATCCTGGAATATTGCAATGGACCGTCAGAAGTGCAAGACAACCTCATGGAGCTAATGTGAATGGGCTGTGTCTACCCTTAATGACAAATAAAATCGAGGTTGCATTTCGTTTATCACCCCGTACAAGCCGCTGTGATTTATTGCTACCATCCTTAAATAAAAAAGATAATCAAATAACTCGGGTGTGACGGCATCGTCAGCCACGTAGCCATACATAATTTATGCTGTTCAAGCATAAGCAGGCGTCTGTACTTCTCTGCGACACACAGGACAGCTTGGTAGAGTACCGTTGTTCATGCACCACCCCGACCATTTGTCAATGCAAGAACAGTGGAAGCTATGTCCACAGCTAATCGTAACAACGAAGCCTGATGCTGTCAAGCCGAACTTGGACCAGCAGATCGAGCACTTGTCGCTTCTGCTTATTCCAGTAGCTTGGGCGGATGGTGATAGCATCACCTCAGTCGACTCATCTCGCCGTCTGGCTACAATCATCAAACTCTCCCATTCCACAGAGCCGAACGTTTTGCCAGCATTGAAGCGATAGTACTTCCGACCAAAAGCTTCCTTCCACTGCGAAATAATTGAAAACCCGTTTTGTTCTTGTGTTCCGTCAAATTTCCAGACACAATCGTAAAACCCACAAGTTCGAGGCTTCACCTTTGAGTGACAGATGGGACATCGAATGTCGTCATCTCGCATGAGATTAAATGCTTCATACTGCTTGGGGTGGATAACCATGTGTTGATATGCAGCACACTCCACATTCTTGCATCTCCCCTCGATGTTCAGTCCTCTGCGGACAATACGCCACTCCGGAGCGTCGGGTGAAAACTCGCGGACCACCAATCGTCCGAAACATCGGCAAACATCCGTGGTGGACCTCCACCACCACGCATCAGCCGCACCAGATGCACTTGGCTCAGGTTTTTGATACCGTAAGTACGCAGCGAAAGATGGTTTTCGAGCTCTTTGCCTGCGAAGACAAGACTCTGGACATCAGGTGCAATGCCTTCCTTGTCTCGAATTCTGGACTTGAGACAGACAACCGTATCGGTGGTCTCGCAGTTAATTAGAATAATTCTGTCTGTGAGCGTTTTAATAAAGATCCTAATGCTGCTTCTGGGCGCCCAGTTTGGGTAGAGTCTCATGCTCACTACAAATCGTGGACAACTACGCAGCTCGGGAATGAGTGCTTTCAGTGAACGATCACGACTCACACGGGTTCCATAAAGTAGAAAAGTCTCCACTTCGCGACTATTTCGCTCGAACGGGAACTTGGCGTTGATCTTCGTATTCAGTACCGGGAACAAGTCTCGAACTCGAGCGCCTTTCAGCGGCAAATCGGACATGCTGAGCTCGATGACTCCCTTGATGCCCCGCTCATGGGCATCCTTCCACAGGATCGGAAACGTGAGGGTCGACATGACTTTGTGTCTGGCGAGGAGAACGATTGAAGGCTGGGGGTTTAGTCAGATCCGAGAATGAGCTCAATCTACAGACGTTTAATGCTACAGTTGGATTGAGGTGAATTCAAAGAATCATCGGTTCCCAACGGCATAACAAGTTATATTACATGTATTCACATAAGGCGTGGACTTTTGCGACGGGTCGAACTGGGACTATGAGCTGGAAAGATCTACACAGCTTCTACGATGAAATTAAATGTTGGTGACGCTATAATAGAAAACTTTATTAGCAAGGGAGCGATGCAGAGTGTATGTCGGACACAGAAAATGGTGCGGACTTGGAACCAGAAGATGCGTCGGTGCATGCACAATAAAATGGCAGAGGACCATCGGCGATGGTCCTCAGCGATGGTCCATCGCTATCGGTACTGTTGAAGAGAAACAGAGGGATGGCTCTGCATCGACAGCAGGAAAAGATTCGCCTGAATAGCTACATGTACATGATGTCGTGACTCTATACATGGCACGATGATATGGATGAGGACCATCGCTATCTTGTACTGTTGAAGAGAAATAGAGGGATGGTCCTTGCTGGTTCTGCATCGACAGCAGGAAAGATTTGCCTAAATAGCTACATGTACATCATGTACAGTACATGATATCATGGTTGTATACAAATGGAGGAACACTGCAGGATGACAAGAATCGGAGCTTCATTCGCTCGAAGTAAGCGTACTCCCCTTGCAGCCGCTGTTTGGTTGCGACTACTACTACTGATATGTTGTATCGTCATCGCTGATAAATTGGGGGGGCGGAATAAGTCAAACAGAACCAATTATGTTCGGAAGAGCCTTTTCATTTGGATGAGAATGCAAGCAAAACCGTCGGCTTTGTTGGTAACGGCTGATGTTGAGATTTCATTTTCTCTGGGTTTTATCCACCTTGCTACGGTGAATTTGTTTTTGAAGGGCCAGGCCTTCTCGAGTTTCGGGCGGAAATTGCCGTCGTTAAACGGCGTGTTGGCCTTGCCAAAGTGAACTGAATTAAGAGCCCTGCGGGCATCATTCGACATCTGGTCCCACATAATAAGATCTTGGAATGTACCAGCGTCGCCGGTGGTATCAAGGTCGTGGTTCAATGGCCAGGCGTGCTTGTATCGGACCTTGAGACTGGTGCCGTCAATAACGTATGACGGACAAGGGTTGTACTTCTTGTAGCCGTCGTGGGATGACACTGAGCAGGCAAGAATCTTGGGTTCCGCCACCTCGGGATTGTCAATAAACACAATCGCGTGCTCCCAGTCGTGACGGTGGCCCATGCGAGACGATGGAAAATCCTTGGGAAAGTACCATGAGTACATGATGGCCCAGACGCCTTCCATCCACGTCGAGCGGCCGTAGACCTGAGAACCGTGGCCGGAGCCTCTGCATCCACCTCTGGAGTTTCCAGAAGTTTGAAGACCGCCGCTAGTCTCCCCCAATTCGTTCACGACAGGGTAAGGTACGCATCCAGTACGGATTTGAATCTGAGGTTTGAACTTGACGCCGGCCTTCTCGGAGATCGTGACAGGTTCGGGCTGAGGGAACAATTTCACATCGTCATGGCCAATTGTTTTTGTCACCCATGGGCCAGGGTCCGGCGTTGGAGCTGGGGTCGGAGCAGGCGTTGGGGCAGCAGTAGGGGCGGAAGCTGGGGCTGGTGTAGGTTTTGGAGTCGGCGGTTCTTGGCGAGGATCCGGCCTCGTCGGACCTTTTGTCACGTTTCGAGGAACGGTGGCCGACGGTGCTTGGGTCAACTTGCTGAAGTCAATGTACTTTATGGTTCGTTTTGGGTTTTCAATAGGACCCTGCGCTTGGGATGCAGTCTTTGATTCAGGGGAGCCGACATCGCCTTGCGACGATTGCATTTGACTGTGAGACCCGTCTTGGGCTTGCACAGACGCAAGAACTGCAAGGCCGACCCACAGAACGGCGTAGAGGTTCATTCTTCCAGCCGCGCTTGTTGGTTGTTGACGTCGGAGAATTTTTCGATATGCTGGACCAGCATACCGATACCGTAGCTTACGGTGCCAACAGGAGAACAAATATGGTGGCGAATCGCCATTTAAGTATCGCCACTGGCGATACATTAACGTCATATCGCAGGTGTTTTCTTGCTGCTTTTTCACAAAAGTTTACAGAGCCATGTACAGTATCACTGCATGAAACGCAAGGTCCTGAACTTCAGGACCTTCTTCAGGCTGAAGAGGAGTTATTCGCGTTTTTGGCCACTGTAGTAATTACTACGTGATCAACGATTGTGAAGCAATTCACCGGGAAAAACTATGGAGCTCGAGGTACCCAAATTTAGAAAAGGGTAATGTGGTGTACCCAAATACTTTTTGCGTTTTTTACATTGAGCTGAGGTTAGAATTTGTTTCCTGCGTAATGGAACTCTTTTTGCACGTCCTATCGACATGGCGGTGTTGATATAAGTTCTCCGTTGGCGAGGCTTCCCTGCAGCCATCACTAAATCCTACTGGTACACCAAAGCAGGCTTTCGACCTTATTTCTAGCTGCATTGATTCCGTTCGTATGTTTAATCAGTTGGAGGGGGGGGCTATTCTATAAAATGCAATATGCTTCGAGTCGACGCTGCGGCAACGTTGTATGCCAGACCTTCTCGCCGCATAAGTGCCACATCTCGTCCTCCGTAGGCAATGGAGTGGTTCATTTTCTTTCTCCTGAAATTTTGTGTATCTTACCAGCCTATGCGGTTGTTGATAAGTACTTTGCGTCATTGGAGTGGTCAGGCCGTGAGGTACACGGATGAATGAAATAATACTATTCACCAGTGCGTATGCCGATGCTGTCTGACAAGCACCTTTCACCCTTAACATTATCCACCGGACAAACTCCATTGGCAATAACGAAACCTACAGCGGAAAAGTCCAGATTGCCTACAGCGTTCTAGATATACACGCTTTGTAAATGCTGGCTTGTCCCGCAGGGGATTTGAAGACGTCCCGCCGAGAGTTAACTCTATAGACGCACTATTTAGAACTTCGAAAAGAGTTCAAGGCTACTTCTGGTTCAGCGAAACAAGTACTTTCGTCAACACCACACGATTGCCTTTTCATGTGTCCGCGTACATGTTGGTCTCAATCACGTCGGAGATCACATTTAAAAACGCCTACAGTTGCTCTAGACTGGTCATTTATCGCCTCATTTAATGTCTTACACTACTTTATGCCACCGACCAAATCTGAGTCGTAATATGGCTACGTGATACTACGTAGTATATAATACCTCAGTTGCCCTCTTATTAATAGCCCGGTTAGGCTTCGTTATGAATCTGTGGATGCGTATGTAAAGGCTATCATTAATCTTTACCAATTTCGAAAATTCATCAACATGAATCAACACTCACACCCGCGCGGCAAAGCCCTAAAAGGCTTGATGGACATGCTAAAGCGAAGAGAAAACGAGCGGAAAGTTAACGCTTACGCCGATCGAGGGCTGGAAACGGTGCTAGATGGATATAATTTTGAGGACACGAGGAGTTTAAGTACGTTCTGGTTGAACATATCAACTGGAGTGGCCTTACGAAGTCGAGTGGACGTTTTAGTCGGACACGCCCTTCTTGCTCGTGGAGAGTCAAGGCGATTTATCCAGTTCCCTGATATGTTGTCTCTTACGCTAACCGACGAATCCCCCCGAGTTTGTAGTCCCCTTGTAGATATCATGAGAAAAGGAAAGACTAGCAAAAGCGGCACGGTTAAATACGATGCTGCTATGCGATCCAAAGAAGTGATGTTATGTCCTTTCAATGCGGTGACCCTATACTTGAACTGGCGATGGCATATGGATTTGGAGTCATTTCCTACACTACGCAATTAGAAGGAGTGAATACAGCATTTAGGGCCTGTGGTATTAATTCGTCAGTCTGGCCGCATGCCACTCGGGGCTCAGGAGCCAAGCTGGCTGAGCTACAAGGCTCGGATGAAAAACAGATTAGGCGAGCTGGTGGATGGAATGGAGAGAGAATGGAAGCGAGCTATTTAACAACACTACCGCGAAAGGCAATGCGCGCTTTGGCAGGGCGATCAGCAAAGGGGTGGGTGGGTATTGGTTAGATCGTACCATAATAACCCCACCCGTTGAGCTACAGCAAAATGTTTTCTCTGACCTGAATGCTACAGAGAGAGAGACTATCGCGAGTGTGGAAGCCGGGGAGTTGCGGCCGGTGGCATTATTGGATTGTTGCACGTTTTGAGAGTCATTATATTTCAAGACTCGGTAGTGCTACGTGGGAAATTTCCCGATCACCCTATTTGGAAAGACCCTTTGTTCATTTCGGAGCACGATGTGCGGTTTGAAGCGGGGGTTTTGCTTTCGCTGCAATTTTCAAACCAGCCCCAAGATAACCGTCTTGAAGCAGCAAATCCGTTAGTAGCAGCAGCGCTAAAGCAGGTTCCGAGACTCTGCACGGAAAGATCGACAGCCTCACCAGTGAACACCAGCTTAAAGCGCAAGGCGTCTTAGCCGTAAGAAAAAAGCTCGTGGTCTCTTTAACATATGGCTGTGGCGAAAGCCTAGAGCGTGGTACCGACCAAGTACCGGACGCTGTACAGCCCCGACAAGATCAATTTCAAAATCCTTCGGTGGGTAAAATGGTTCTAAGTCGCTCTCTGCTCTCGCAGAATTGGAGGGCAGATATCCGTTCATGAAGCCGAGCAGCGATTTGGAAGCAAGTGGCGGAAAGAGCCCACAGAGAATCGTTTCTTCTCTCGACGTAAAGATTTCTACGAAGCAATAAAGACGCTCGCATCAAAATGCCAGATATCGGAAACTGGAGCTAAATCTGAGCTAGATGAAATGCGCAGAGAGGCAGGACAATCACTCAATCAGTTTGGCAAGCGAGTTCGAGGCCTTGTTCAAGATATTATCGCACAGAATAACTCGACCGCATTGTAAAACAAGCTGACCATCTTGCCAAATATCTCAACCACTTTGCAAAAAAGTCGACTATCTTGCCAAATAGCTCAACCGCTTTGTAGCACGACTGCAATGATGAATATCTCAATCATAGCATATAATATTTAACTGGACAGCTGTACAGAAAAAATTGACCAATGCAGTGGTTCAGGTAGCTTGAAAGTAGCTTTAAATATGGTCTCTGTAGTGTACGATAAGTTACAAAACAAGGTGCTGTCGAGATATATTGTAAGATACGATCAAATAATACTGCTAGCTACGGTCGAGTTATTCTGTATGATGGTCAAGTTATACTGCATGATGTGATCGAGTTATAATGCAAGTTGCGATCGAGTTATATTGCAATTTGGGGGCTGCGCTGCTTGGTAATCACCACGTTTTTCAGCGGCATCTATCTGGTCCGACCCCATACAAAGTTTAGAATGCGACCGGGTCCGGACCCAAGATACGGCTACAGTATACCACCGCACTGATTTACCTAACACTGTAGAAAATTGTTCCATCACATACCCGTAACATACGCCTCTAGTCCACGAGGTCTACCCTAAGGGAGCAAATTTTTGGTTTCCGTGTCTGCTTGTTGTATAATGGACGTCCAGGCGAGCCATTTTGCCTAACGAATTTTGACAGTGTAGCTACAAGTCAGTTATTTTCGGCGCGGAAGATTCTGTAAACCCATGTTGGGAGGTTTTATAAAAAGTATGAAAAATGTAATACTAAGTCCGATTTTATTAGCGGAAAATAGCAAATTTTAATTACAAAATTTAAGTATAATTTTCCTCGCAATAAGGGTTAAAGAGTACCCGGACAGAATGGGTAGGTCCTGGCCCGGGTCAGTGTTACCACGCAAAATAAAACAAACCAGAACCGCGGTTCTGATAATTACTCAGAACCCCATGGAATCAGGAGCTGGGTTTTGAGAAATTATGGGTTCGGCGTTTTAAATGCTAAAGGGCAAGAATCGCGACTTTTCAGCAAGAATTATCGACAGGTTCTCTCTCTCTCGAGCAACTATTAGATAGCTGCTATTTGAAACCGTGAGCCCAAGGGTTGAAGATTCACCTTTTGGGCTCAGTAAGATCTGCGAAAAGGCACGTGAACATAATATATCGGTAATACTGGATCGTACCGAATCCGTTTGAGTTCAAGAGCTGAATTTAGGCGGTAATAAGCTCATTCAAGGCGTGAATATTACATTTGCGACCTAACCAAAATACTCGTCATCTTATACTTGAGGGAAAACGCAACATGGCAAATAAGTCATACGCAGCGGCAATTACGGCTCCACCCCGAGACCCTCAGCATAAAATGACAGTGCAGTTCAGTTGCATTAGAAAATAATGTCCAACTCTCCAAACAACATTAAGTTCATGTTCGATCAATACAAAGAGAAAATACGATGGCTAACAGAAAGCGTTTGCACGTTGGCGCGACGAAAAATATTTTTGCGATGGAGGCACCGTCACAAAAGGTAAGCGCCACCTTTTCCTGTCCGAGGAAGATGTAGGACGAGACTCGAGCTAGCAGAAGGGATCTATCATCGGTGGTTTAATTGTGTGCGGCTAAATAAATGCGATTGTCGATCTGTACAGCCAACAAGTCGCTTTAAAGGTCCAATCAAACGAGCACACCGATCAGCCAAGTAAAGCAGTCGATAAAGAATGTACAGCTCCTGTGAGTGACAGGCATTTCCAGTGTCCGGAACACGTTTGTACCAGTGTTAGGACACAGACAAAGTTTATGATTGCGGTTGATGGTACAGCAGTATGTATCTGCAGAACGTTGTCCTTGCAAGCCATATGAAGAGGAAGACTGATGGCTAGGAGAGCTCGAGCTGTGGAGCGGTACATGTAGAAGTTAGTTTAGTTATATTAGACATATGTAAAGCGTATAATAGAATTCTGCCGGTGTGGTGGATGGCTTTGACTTACGTTCTCACATTTACATTTGCAGGCTCTTGAAGAGCTCAGTGTGAGCCCCACCTGCTGCTAAGTCACCGCCAGCGTCT